AATATATATAAATATATAATATATATTTAATAATATAATTGAGTCTTGCAATGACTTGTGACGACAGTTACACTTTCAACAATTTTTAAATTTAAACTTTCTTAATATAAAAATTATTTTGGAACGCGAACTAACAATTTTAGTGGTGTCTCAGAGTCACCACTCGAGTGCAAAGGGTTGATTTCGATGTAACACGGTGTCTCACCTAACTCGAGCATTTAAAATATGTTTTTCGTGATAGAGAAAAATGTCAGAGGGAAACGTTAGTTGGTTCAGAGGGGCAAATATTATGATAGGCAAAAATATTTGTTCAAGGTTATATTTTTTGAGATTTCTAGGTCATCGAAGTTTATTTAAATGAAATGATATATTTTTATTATCGCTATATGATAGATTCAAGACGAATCCAACGACCAAGAATATTATGTCCTTCGCGTGACCCGGAGTACGAAGAATTCATAAAAGTAGGGTACTTGACCTAAACAGTGAAATTGGGGAAGCCATATCATAATGTTTTAATTATTATCATCCAGTGCATGCAAGCAGTTTTTGCATATTTTTGTTGTAGCAATAAATCTTCGGATAAATAATTCTACAGGCAAGTACCCATATGCACTATGTCCTAATAATCATTATGGACGGGAGTGTACGTCCATGTTGTCACCGGTGTAGATAGCTGTAATAGCACCGATCGCACCGGTGCGGCTCGGCGATGAAACTTATTAGGGTAAGTGTGGGTATTACTGCGGGCGCCCCAAATACGGCGGTATTTTATAAATGCAATAAAATCTAACATTTTGTAGCGTGTAATCTTCTAAAAATAAATCTTATAATTTTTTATATGACATACAAGTAATATTAATCGCAGTTTTAATTCATTTATTGACTTTTGACATCCGGAAGCTTATTGAAACGTTGAGTCTTATGAAATACTCGTTATGACAGCTGTGAACGCTGATTCGAAAGGCATTTGTATTTTGGAAATTAATAATAAACTATTCATTTCAGCGTTATTTTTAGATGAAGTAATCATTATTTTGATAAAAAAAATCGACATACACTGTCACTATTATCTATCCACAAATATTATACTAACACAGTATTTGGCGCATAGCTTTTTATTATGTGTGTACATTACTGCGGTGTTTTATTGAACTGCGAACCTATACAGTGCAGTTCTCGATAAGCCGGTGCGAACACGCTTGATTACAGAGTACCTATACCTAATTTGTAAAGTGATACAGAGAGAATATCTTAATCCAAGAAATTATAGCTGCGTGTGTGTACGGTTGAAAGAAAATAGGTTATGTCAATCTTGACACGCAGTAATCGGAACGTCAGCAGTATTTGGCTCGCAGTAATAGATACATAGCCGCAGTAATATACGCACACATATGATTTCTTTACATTACGCTTTTTAATCAAATTCCTGCTTTCGGAGATCCAATATTTTGAGAAAAGCGAATATTCAAGTTAAAGAATAATTGGTGTAGCTCACGTTGTCAATTCATTGACGTAAAAGGTCTTAATTTCTCAGTCAAGGTTCGTCCTCATTGAGAAACCGCAGTAATACCCACAATTACCCTAGCTGATCGTCCGATGAGAATAGCTTTGCTCGTTTCTTCGATGTAAACACTTCCGTTATAAAACAATCGAATTTCCAAGTTTCGCAATCGTCGTCGATCCGATCTTTTCTATCGCAATTCTCCTCACTCGGCCACCCTCGTTCACACCTCGTGTCGGTTTGATGTGCACTTTTCTCCGACTCCGATAAGAACGTGTAGATTCAAATTTTACGGAACTCTGAATAAGTCTATGAATTTGAATGCGTCGGATCGTCGCACGGGTCAACGGTGTTCGGGATAATGGCGCGACGATGCGAACGACGGACAATGAGGGCGATGGGGAAAAAATAGAGGGAGGACGGATATTAAAGTTCTACGATCCGATGGTGTAAAGGACGAAGTGCTGGCGGTAATAAGCTGACGGCGGACGCGCCCAGCGAAACATAATGCAACGTGCTTCGCGCGGCGCATTATCCTCGGATACGACTCTCCGTCGGCGACGTCGCCGTCGACGTCGGCATCGACATCGACACCGACACCGTCTCGCTCCTAATGTCTCCGGGAGCGAAAGGTCTTGGGAACGAAATTTAAAACTGATATTTACTTCGCAGGGGAACTGGCCGTCGGCGACATCATCCCGGGGTATCCGCTGAACTGAAACGGTACGGGCGGAAATAACATGACATAAATCCTCGCGTTTAATTGGCCGACTCACGGGGACTCCGATATACGATCGTGTCTGGACCGCGGATCTTTATGCAAAATAAATATTTGCCAAGATGATCGTAAGAAACAGAAATGAGATAAAAATAAGCTGTTTCTTCAGATAATTTAGATAAATCGAAAATAGCGTAACGACATTATCGAATTCTTTTTTTGTTTTCGTAAACTTATATTGCAGTTACTCATTGTTGCCATGAATGCATAAAATCTGCAGTCTAATCATGAGTACATATTCTGATACTCGAACGTCGAAATATTATGCCTCTTGAACGTAAACGGTTATTGCAGGATTTATTGTTTGCTCGTAGAATATTGAGCGGTAATGTTAACAGCCCTGGAATCTGCGATCTTTTCAAACTACCGCTATCTCGTCCGTCTTCGAGTCTGCCTTTTCACAGGAATCTCATATAGATAGAATCATTTGCAATGTAAATCGGTATTGTAGTAGATTAAATTCTGATTGCACATATTGCACCTTCCGACAGAATGCATTTAGGACAATTCAAGTATTGTCATGTAAGCGTCTCGCAGCACTATGGTTTATTTGCATATTCGTCATAGTTGGCATTAACTGAAAGACAATAGCCCGTAAATAAACATAAATATAGTAAATATATACAATATATTCACATCCAGTAAATATATTCAATATATTCAAATATAGTAAATACATTCAATATATTCAAATATAGTAAACATATTCAATATATTCAAATATAGTAAATACATTCAATATATTCAAATATAGTAAACATATTCAATATATTCAAATATAGTAAATACATTCAATATATTCAAATATAGTAAACATATTCAATATATTCAAATATAGTAAATACATTCAATATATTCAAATATAGTAAACATATTCAATATATTCAAATATAGTAAATACATTCAATATATTCAAATATAGTAAACATATTCAATATATTCAAATATAGTAAATACATTCAATATATTCAAATATAGTAAACATATTCAATATATTCAAATATAGTAAATACATTCAATATATTCAAATATAGTAAACATATTCAATATATTCAAATATAGTAAATACATTCAATATATTCAAATATAGTAAACATATTCAATATATTCAAATATAGTAAACATATTCAATATATTCAAATATAGTAAACATATTCAATATATTTAAATATAGTAAGCATATTCAATGTATTAAAATATAGTAAACATATTCAATATATTCAAATATAGTAAATATATTCAATATATTCAAATATAGCAAATATATTCAATATATTCACATATAGTAAATATATTCAATATATTCAAACATAGTAAACAAATTCAAACGTAGTAAATATATTCAATACATTCAAATAAATTCAAATATATTCAATATATTCAAATATATTCAATATATTCAATATATTCAAATATGCAATATATTCAAATATATTCAAATATATTCAATATATTCAATAAATTCAAATATATTCAATATATTCAAATATATTCAATATATTCAATATATTCAAATATGCAATATATTCAAATATATTCAAATATATTCAATATATTCAATAAATTCAAATATATTCAATATATTCAAATATATTCAATATATTCAAATAATTGATATCTATACAACTAAATACCCAAAGTTTTTCCTCTGATATTGATATTCTTTCGATCAATAAAACGAGATTTCCAATCAAATATTGACACGTTCGCAAGCAGCGTCACTCTGCTCAGCGTCGTCTGCAAGCATCGTATCCTCTCACAAAAATATGGTAAAAATATCATAAAGGAGAAGCTATAAATTCTCCGAATATCATGCCATGTGTTACAATTTTCAATAATTATATTCACAAAATTCATTCGACGTTCTTTACGTAAAATACAAAATCGTGGTCGTCTCAAATCGTGACGCTGGTAGCGAACGCGTTAAATAAAACAACCAAGCCAATGTTCGATCGACCAAACGACTTCAGTTTTCCTCGAGGAACCAAGAGGATTCCCAAGGATCAAGCAACAGCAAAGCAAACTCCGATTTCTCTGTGTCAGTGGTGAATTATTAAAATTCATTCGGCAGTGTCGGGCGCGGGTTATGCATGGCATTCTATTAATCGATTAAACGAATCGTTTAACATCCCGCGCACGTAATCGAACGCAAAGCAACCTACTTCGCGACTTTGCGGGCCAAACTCGCTGTAATACCGTGAAACGATGCTCGAAGTTAATCAACAGGGTTGCTCGGGACCCCGGAGCCCGGTTGATAATTGCATAACCGGAATAATCGGAAGTTGCTTTTCAACGCGTTTAATCCACACGGGATCTGCTCTCTCGGGGCCTTTCTCCTCCTCTTTCTCTCCTCTCTCTACCTATCTCTCGCTTCTTCGGCTCTTCGACAGACGGCAGCTACTGTAAACACGCCGTTCTCACAACGTTTCGTTTCCGGCCGCGCGAACGTAGAATTTCCGAATTAATTTTACACCATGGAGCGCCCCGTTCGCCGATTAGGACAATATTCGTGATCCGCGGTGCAGTACTTTGGCGGAAGTCTTTGGAGTAGGTCTTTGTGCTCTTTTCAAACCGCGCATCGCGTTCGTTCGCGAAGTCGACCGCAGTTTTCGGCGAAACGATTAGAGCAGCGAGCTTCTGGTTAGAATGAAACGATTGTCTCGAATAAATCAAGAGGCCCGGAGCCCTGCGAAGGAAGCAGAGTCGAGGAGCACTTACGGTTCTATTTCCCAGGTTCTTCACTTTACAGACGAGCTGGACCGTTTCCCCGACGAGACCCGTCACGTTCGACGAAATCGTCGTGTCGAAGTACGGTTCGCTGTCCGACGGTTGCCGTGTTTCCGATGTATCCGCCTCGAACAGCCGGTTACTGCGCACAGCTTCCTCTGAAAACGAGAAAGAGAACAATCGATCGGTATGCTTCTCTACCTGGATAAATTCTTTATCCGGCTAACTTAACGCCGGCGGAATCATCTGCCAATATTCTATCACTTTTAAAGTCATTCTGGTTCGAGCGCTATTTTCACTGTTCCATCCGTTCGCATCTATAAAAGTCCATCACTTTTATAGGCTCGAACGCGAAAAGCTTTCTTAGCGACCGATCAATAATATACGGCAGAGCTGGACAAAATTTTGTCCGAATAATGGATAAAGCATAAAGACTAACGAGTAAATGTGCAATTGAATAAGAATTTTTCCGAATAAAATTGTATTCGAATAAGATCTTATTCGAGTGAGAATTTATTCGCACAGGAATTCGTATGGAAAATAATTGATTTGAATAAATCTGGCAGAATATAAAGTGTTCTTTCATGATTCATCGATTTATTTCTTCCGTATTACATTTTCGAATTATTGGAATAAAAAATTATTCGAATACAGAATGACTGGAATAAATAGATAGAATAATTTACGACGAATATTCGAATAGAATGTTCATCACTTTTATAGGCTCGAATGCGAGAAGCATTCTTCGCGACCGATCAATAATATACGGCAGAGTTGGACAAAATTTTGTTCGAATAATGGATAAAGCATAAAAACTAGCGAGTAAATGTGCAATTAAACAAGAATTTTTCCGAATAAAATTCTGTTCGAGTGAGAATTTATTCGCACAGGAATTCGTATGGAAAATAATTGATTTGAATAAATCTGGCAGAATATAAAGTGTTCTTTCATGATTCATCGATTTATTTCTACCGTATTACATTTTCGAATTATTGGAATAAAAAGTTATTCGAATAAAGAATGACTGGAATAAATAAATAAAACAATTTACGACGAATATTCGAATAAAATATGTTCGAACAAAAGGGAAAATTAGAGAAATAATTATTCGAGACAATCGGAATAACGCCGAGCTTCGATATACAAAGCAAAATGGTCTCTGCACTTAAAAAAGAGTAAAAAGGATTTTCAAGAAGCCAATCACATTTCCAGATGGGCGTATAGAATTCCCGTAAAAGTGACGAGCGTTCACAGTCCGGATAACGTAAAAGCGATCGGCTTCAAGTGTATGCGCAAGGAAACAGATGGTTCGATACTTTGTTCAATTACGTTTTTTCCAGTTAATGGGCGCAATTGAATATCACAGCGCACTGTGAAGGGGTTCAAAGCTTTGAGAGCGGAGGTCTTCATTGGGTTTGACAGCGTGGATCGATCTAATCTCCTTTTAATATCAAGTGCGTCGGGGGTACCTTCTCGTCGGGCCTGAATGAATGGCGAAAGCGTGGCGGTGCATACAGAGGGAGAAAGTACACCGTGCGCCCCGCATCGCGCGCTACGCGCACCGCGGGTCGTGCATCGTGCATCGTGCAATCGTGTAATCGTGCATCGTGCAGGATGCACGGGGCTGTGTTGCAGCTCGCAGCAGCGTAAACGTATCCCGTTACAGGGACTCGGTTGCGAACGAGATCGTATTTGCCGCAGTGCAGGACTAGAGGCGAAGAGCGTAGAGAGAGAGAGAGAGAGAGAGAGAGAGAGAGAGAGAGAGAAAGAGAGAGAGAGAGAGAGAGAGAGATGCACACGGCCAACAGGATAGTGGATAGTTATGCGGCTGTCGTTCCAACGCGTACTTTCGGGCCACTCCGACCCGCGATAACCGTTCGGACATCGGTGCGTCCTGAAGTGATCCGCCGTCGAGTTGACCGATGCGAAATTTCTCGGATAAATTGCTCGCTGTCCGATCTCGCGCGAGAACGGATACGCGATTACACTTGTAATTGACTTTTTCGAGCCGAGGGCCGCGACCTCGTTTGTCCACCCTGAACACTGGACATGGTGCAACCGGATCAACCGCTTGCAACGACCGTTGGCTTCCTCTATCGCGTCGCAAAATTTAGAAACAAACCGAGCCGCCGCGACGGCTTTCAATCTCTCCGATGTTGCGTATCGTACGTATACAGTAATAATTCTCGTTTCAATTGCACGAATGAATGTCTTCATTTTCAGTCTGGAAATAGACCTTGGATCTTGCAATGTGAATCTCTAATTTGTCTTGTTAGGAAGAGGAACGGTATTTTTTAATTGACGATAAATTTGCACAGATTTATGCAAATGGATCGAAAGTAATATGCTACGAAGATCACAAATAATGTGAAATCGAAGTGCTATCAAGTCCTGGTTTGAGCTTTCGAAGTCAGCGAAGAAGGAAGAAAAAGTGAGGGAAAGAGAATGACAAATCCGTTTGTGTAAAAGTAATTATCTCTTTACGTGAAATTAAATTGTAGAGTGTAAGTGATAATTGATCAATGAATTGGGATAAGTGATAATTAGTAGTGATTAGCAATAATATTAGCAATAATATTAGTAATAGTATTAGCAATAATATTAGCAATAGTATTGGCAATAATATTAGCAATAGTATTAGCAATAATATTAGCAATAGTATTAGCAATAATATTAGCAATAGTATTAGCAATAATATTAGCAAGAATATTATTAGATAAAAGTCAGGAAAATATATACTAAACTCCAAACAAAAAGCACCATTAATTTTCCTTCCCTCCTTGTTAATCCCTCAAGGTCAGACCAGGCCTTGGTAGCACTTTTAATTGGCATTTTGGTGATCTCTATGATATATACTTCCGATCTATCTACATAGATCTGTGCGATTTTGTCATCAGTTAAATAGTGTTCCTTGTTAGTTTGTAAGTTAGCGATTCGCTTATTTCGTTTCCCTTTATATACTAATATCGCACACCAAAACTATAACTCAACCTTATACAGGTAGTCCTCCTACAACACAGAAGCCTATAACACGATTTCGCTCTAACACGATAGGATAAACTGCGGGAACCCTCGTATAGCTCTGCAACCTATAACACACTGCTTCGCTCTAACATGATGAGAAAATTGCGAAAACCTTTGTACGACACTGTGCTTCTACAGCACTGGATAACATGTTTTTTGTTTAAAGTTTTAATTTTGTGAGCGGCCGCGCTCAGGTAGAGGGATGCGACTCCACACATTCAACGCCTGTTAACAATCAATAGCTAGTAAATTTCACTTTGATTCTGCATCCTCTTCTTCCTTACATATCTCCCCGAATTTGCTTGTCCGTTTCTCCTTTTCTCTTCCTCTCTTCAAGCCCTGTCTTCTACCGAGCAAGAGACCCTTAACTTCGCACACCATGTGCTAGAAAATATGGGTGTTTCGGGCCGTATAATGAAGTTATTAACGGGAACGTTGCACACCGGTGCAACGAACTCGACGCAGCTCGTAGATTTTTCACCGGGAACGGTGAAGTTGAGTAGGTCGTGCGCCGAAACTCCGGTCTTCATTTCGTAGAAGGAAATTATCGATTCGGACGCGGCAAATATTTTACTAAGCGACGGAACAGCTTCCTGACAACGTAGCAGCGAAGGGGCCACCGTGTACCGGGCGCCGTGTGCCGTGTACACCGCTCAAAGTATACGTGATCGCTCTATACTTTCCTTTTGCGCTATATAATTTTAATAAATGCGTCTAGCGGGAGAGCGAGAAAATTATTTCTCACCCGGCCAGGGGTTACGCGGCACCGTTTACCGCGCCGTGTGTAATTACAGGCCACGATGAAAAAGGGAAAGAGAGAGAGAGGAGAGAGAGAGAGAGACAGAGGAAAAGAGAGAGAATGCAGAATTTTCGCGCGAGATGAAAAGATGAAACGCTTTTAACGCTGCGAAATATCTACGACAAATAAAAACTACGTGGCGGAGCATCGTCGGAAATTGTTCGCCGGATCGGTTCCTCGCGCGGCATGTCCCGTGACGTCCAAAAATCGTGAAATATCGTCATCCCTGGAACGCGTTCTCCAGAATTTATTATCATAATCCTATCTACTGTCGAGCTTCATCGGCCGAGAAATTATGTGAATACACAGTGACGGACTAAAGTATTCGTACACCTTTTAGATCGTAATAACTTCTTTCAAAAAACCGGATTAAATATCTTGAAGTTTCGTTAAATGTCACGGCGGCTAGTTTACTGTACAACGACAGAGACACGTTTTTTCTTAATTTTGCTTTCATTCGGAGTGACGAAATAAGATCAAAGAAGTTTCTCTTTGGAACTTTTTCAGCCGAGTCTGCAACGAAAATTTAAAAATACGTTCTCTAGATCTCATATCTAGATCACATATACGCGCATACGCCAGTCGCTCTAACATTTCAAAAGAAAATTCCAGTCGTTTAATTCAGTTTCGGAAAAGTGATTGCGTTTTGCAAAGTCTACGAATACGAATACTTTAGCGCGTCACTATGGGAACAGTAGAATAAGCTCCGAAATAGACTAGTCAAGACTGTGGTGGAGAACGAGCGAGAAAGAAAAATGCTGTTGGAAAGTAAATGGCGATATTAGAATACAATTTGCATAAAAACCGCTCGCCGAAAAGATACGAGTCTAGAATGTAAGTAAGATGACCCCGACGATTATGGATGCTAAGGACAAAGCACGCTGCAGGAAGTGCTGTTGACTTCGAGAGAGCTCGTAAAACGTTACACTTCGCCACGCGGTAAAGTTTCGAATCGCGGTCAACTCCGTCGTAAAGAAAGGGTTAAGTCGTTTCATTGAACTAAATATATCGCGAGCGTCATTTCAATTTATTTAATCGGGCCAAACGACTTGACTTTGCCGTTTCATCGCAATCCGCATCAACCTTCTATTCTATTCTCCGAGAGGAACGCGGGAAAATCTAATAATCAGAAATCGATCGGGCAACGATTTTAAGCTATTGCCGCAATTATTCCATACCGCTATGGACTTCTTCTTGATTATTTTCAAAGCTCGTCCCTCACCCCTTTTCAGACACTCTACTTTTATTACGAGTACTGTTCGCTATATTCTACTTCATCCATCTTTCTTCTCTTATTTTATCTTTAGTTTTTGTTTAGCAATGGTACTTCCTGTA